ACTAATTTTGTTTGCTTGACTGAATCCTACATTAGACTTGGCATTTGGTCTTCCAATTCCATCTCCAGCATTTCAAGCATTGCCTGATGGTGGCATCACATTGTTATAGAAGGAATCATGATCAACATTTGTCTTCTTCCGTTTGTAAGTGCTTGGCTGCTCCTTCCATTGGTAGTTACCATCTGTCTTCTTTTTGCACCTTAGCATGCACTTCCCATGAATCCATTTTAGCACCCTTATCAACCCAAGTATCCATTTCAGTTGGTTGTCCAGATACAGTTGCCGCTCCAGCCTCCCCAATCAGTGAAATTGTCCTGCACCTTAGCATGCACTTTCCATGAATTATCTTGATCTGCTGGCTTTGCAGCCACTCCACCTCTACTACTCCAGCCTCCCCAATCAGTGAAATATTTTGTGAGTTTTTATTTCCATTTAGGTGCAAATCAAATTGGCTTGTGACCTGAGATGAAAGGTACTGAGCAGTCCCCACTATGCGCCCTCACGCTGCCAATGCCTCCCAGTGCCCAGTCCGCCGTGCTGTGGTACCGCCACTAGCTGGAGGTGGTGGGAGCCCTTCTGCTTTGGTGCCTGGTTCCTCCTCTCCTCAGTCATTTGACGAGCACCAACGAGGTATTGTTTTCTAGTTTCTTTAGTTCTTTACTCTGATTTGGCAAATAGATGCATGTCAGTGCAGGTGAGCGCATACTGTGATGACTGATACTAACCCAGTGTGGCTTGCAGCGTCGAATCAAACTCGATCTACATCGAAGGGTAAGCTTGATTTCTTTTCCCATGTGCTGTGGTTAGTTGCTCACTTGAATAAATATACGATATACTGTGTTTCAATTTTAAGACGATGGATAATGATATTTATTGAGTGGAATCTGGATTAACCAAATAGCCTTACTATTTCCATTGAATTTGTCACCATGATTTCATTTGACTGTTCTTAAAGGTAGAGATGGAGTGCAAGGTGAAGAAGTTTACAATTGGTTGAACAAGAAAAAAATAGTTTGGTTTCTTTTTCGATATTCATATTTGTGAATTCATTGTAGTATTCATGTTGAACATGTAGATGACTACTGATTTCGATATTCATAGCTGATTTCATAGCTCATATTTTTTCGATATTCATATATATGTGCTGATAGATCAGACTGATTCTATTTTTGACATAAGTGTTGACTCCATTCATGATGAACTACTGATTTGTGTATTATTTGAATAAAACCTTGTTGGCCATGCACAGAAATTACTGGATAGAAAATATATATTTTAATATGCTGTTGCTACTGTTTTCAAATATTTTTTTTGTGTGTTGAACTCTTTTTTCCTGTGAGGCTGGCTACACAGAAATATTATTTTTAATCTGGGCGAAATGAATTTTTCTGTGAGTTCACCTAGACCCACAAAAAAACATGTGTTTTTCTGTGCGTTTATTTCTTTTTCCGTGTGTTATTTTCTGATGGTACACCGTCAGAAAAATATTTTTCCGTGGGTATTCGAATTTTTCCGTGGGCTTTTGCACACACAGAAATATTCGAGTTTCCAGTAGTGTACACAGGACAGTATACGGAGGTCGGTAACGGAGGATCAGATTGGTTCCTTGCACTAGCCTTAATTTGTATTAAGCCTTATGTAGAAGAACCCAATTAAGCCAGTATCTAGTACAGTACTGGATTAAACCGGTTGCTTGATAATGACCTATATGAGCTATGATTATTATCAATAATTGATCATTTAATTTTTGAACATCTCGGTCGTTCTGATTTCCAACGTGACGGTGCATGCATGTTCAATTCGTTGCCTCTTTGATTTGAATGCATATAAGTATTTTCTATCGTCCTAAGGTTTTTTGAATGAAATTCTTAATGGAACTCTGAATCTCACTAGGTTTACAGCCATGTGTCATGAACTCATGATCCAGGCACCTTCACAGAGCTCAGCCGATACATATAGTACTAGTATAATGCCTATGCTAACATTATGACAACTGTAGTGATGCAGATGAAAACCAAATTAAAGACAATTGGGGGCAGTTACTGATTTCCTGCAAATTTTTTGTGATCCCCTATTAGAGAGTGAACAGAAGCTATATACATTTCAATTGGGAATTCACGATCCACCGCTTTCGTTACCAAACCAAATGATCGCTTAATAAAGGTAGATAACATGTTGCTGAATTTCTCATTCATGTCCAAGCCATAACACCACCCCTACCACTAGCTGAACCATTTTTACACACTAATAATTGAGAGATAATGACCTTGCATAATTATGCCCCTACGAAAGATCCACATGATAAAACACTGGTGCAATCTTACCATCACGTTCGCGGTTTCACATGATACAAAGTTGCAAACGACCAACAAATCATTCAACCAAATTATGCAAGAAGCATAACATTCTTGGACTTTACTTCTGGATGCTGTGCAACAGTTAACATTTCTGCGTGCTCATGTTCTCTCTTCGTCCCCACTCCACCTCGCTCTATGCTCCCCCGCCGCCGTCACTTCCCATCTGGCTTGGGTGTCGCCGCCACTCCCAGCTACAGTCATCCCTAAGGGTGTCCTCATTGGCTATAGAATATTATGGAAGTGAAAATCGCATGCAAGCAGGGTGAGAAAGATTGAGGATCAATCGTCATTGGGTTTGAGAACCGAGGAGCCTAGCCCTTGGCTCCTCGCTAGCGATTACAATTGGGCTGCCATTTTTCTTCACTGGGGAGAGAATCTTAGTCTATGACTCTCACCTCCGCGTCAACCAAAACATGCCCTGAGCTAGCGATGTAGCTAGCTTGTTGGCGACGCCCTAATCACAAGATCTAGCTTCTCCATGTTAGACTCAGACTGCCCCCGCCCTCTGCCACCTACCATTGGCTCTGACAACGTTGCATCAGCGGTGCTAATCCCACACATGATCTCCTTGAGTCCTTCTCCGATTGCAACAAATTTCGTAATAATGAAAAATGCATGCATGTTGCATAGTAAAACAAATAAAAAACTGATTAAATCATGAATGGACAAAGACATTTTCAGATTTGGTCGCATGCACCTTCAGTGTACCAGAGTCCGGACATCGGCAACATCAATCGAGGAGGTAGGGAAATGGCTTCCCTTATGCACTCTCGCATAAATCTATACAATGAAATATTTATTTTGGTCCCTCAATTGTTGTATGAGACTCAATTTTATATAAACTTTCAAAATAACCGTTTCAATCCTTAAACTTTATTTTATTATTAGTTTTATCCTAGAACTATCAAATAAACATTTTAGTCTTCAAACTTTGTATTTTGAGCTTAATTTCATCCATAAACTATTAAAGTCTAGAGACTAGACTGAAATGATATTTGATAATTGGCGTACTATTGTGCTGGGCTATTTGGACTGTTCGAAATGATTTCATTGTTCAAGAATGTGCAGCAAAACGTTCTCTTGGCAAAAAGTGTTCAGAAAGGAGTTGAATCTCATGTCCTTGTGGGCCAAGACCAAAGTTTCTCTTATTTTTGATTTATTATTATGGATCCAAAACTGTTGTAATTTTCTTGATCTTTCTTATTTTCTTCCTCTCCTTTGTCTCTTAATTTGTTGTACTCAAGGTTTCTTGCTCTCCTTTAATAATATTCCTGTAGGGGCACCAGCCCCTCCAATTCCATAAAAAAAATGATCTTTGATAGTTTACGGATAAAAATGTGTGCCCAAATCACAAAGATTGAGAATTGAAATAAAATTTTGATAGTCCTGGAATGACATTGAACAAAAAATATAAAATTTTAGGTCTGAACCGTCCATTTTGAAAGATCAGGGATGAAATTAAGCCTCGGACGATAGATGAGGGACCAAAATGATTATTTCGCCAATCTATATCTATACCTAAAACTATAGTACAAAAACTCCTTTCATTATGTCGATTCATCGCTCTCATCTTTCTTGGTCTATCATTATTCTTTCTCACATTCATCATAAACTTCGTTGGCGTCACACACCACTCCTGTGGTGGCCTGCCCGCCCGAGCTCATGTGTCATGACTCGGCACGGGTGTGGACATGTGGCTTGCCTACCATCTTTTTAATCTTACAACAAGTACAAACATTGCCACCCATTTAAACCGAGACAAACTTTAATTAATTTTACATACCGGATAAATCCTTTATTACACATGATATTTATTGTGGGTTAATTTATTTCATTTAATTGAAATAAGGTTGAGCTAAGCCCAATTAAAATATAATAGTCTTTGGTCGCAGTGAGTTTCATCGGGTGCCCAATTACTAAACAGGGTATCCAATTTTAATTTGTTTTCACTTTTCACCATTATATTCTTTACGATTTTATCTTGAAAACAAGATCCCAATGTGATCATGTTTCCATGAAAAAAAATTGACATACGGATCCTACACATCATACACAGCTATAGTATATTTTGCATGTATTAAAATTTTGGCTCGATCGATTGGACATACCCTGATTTGGCTATGGCCAGGTAGGGCATCCATCCAAACATGCCTTTTGAGCCTGCTCGTTTCAAACTGCTACAGTACATTATTAGTCCAAAGTTTTAGAGCTGCAGCCTGCAGGCGAAAGAATCTGCAGGCTGCAGCGAGCACAGCATCGTACCCATACGGACGCCTCTCACTGTTCACTGCGCTCAAGACTCGCAACAGCAAATTCAGGATTACTTATAAGAAAACAAATTGGCCACTGAATTCAAGGGCATTCTCGGGGTAAGATGTAAAATCCTCGGAGGCAAGAATGACACGAGATGACAGAAAGAATCGACATACAATAGTGTCATAATCCGATCCCATCGTGGCCGTGAGCACAGTTCCAAACCAGAGGTCTCCAGCGAAGTTTACAAAAGGAAGTCAAAGATCTCATTTTCTCAAGTGCATAAGAGAGAAAAAATACACGCACGAGTTCACCAATGAAGCAAGAAACCATAAAGCCTCTCCAAGGCATCCCTGTTTCCACCGTATATGGATACTGTCGCAGGTGCAATCAGCCAGTCCTCTTGATGATGTGCACCCCGCTCTCTGTATCAACCACGTCACTTATCTCCCCCGCCTTCAGAGCAAACGCAGCCTTCTCAAAAGCCTTCTGCATCTTACCCCTCCCAAATGAACCTGCAACAATAGCCATAAACTTAAATCGTTATTGGTCGTGGATTTTCAAATGTTTAGAAGATAATATATGAATCTAAACAGCATTGGATGAGGGTGGTTTTTGCGTTACATCCATAATGAGGTCAGATTCCACATTTCATGCCTTCTAAATCCAATTCACAAGTTTCTTGCATGCCAAATTGCCAACAAATCTCTTGCACTAGAATTATTTAGCAAATAATAAAATGGCATTCTGCTGGCTACTTTGTCAAACAAGAGCACTATCTAACGCACAGTTGATAAGCATTTATCCACCATTTGACGAATCATGCCTAATAACGTTGCATTAGATTGGTGGAAACATACAGAATAATTGATTTCAGATTTTACCACCCTTACCATGCAATACATGCAAATCCTAGATCCTGGTCTCTCAACGAAGACAAGTATTAACACCAGACTACTAGCCTACTCACTGAGAATAGCAATAGGTTAACAATCAGAGGAAATTTAACAAAAGGCATAAAAAATGTTTTCATCTACTTCCCTTTACTCTGCAGCATTCAGTAACCCACATCCATCGAGCCCTCTCCTGGTTATCCCTAACACCATTCTTTACCCTTTCAGATAACCTATACTTAGCACCTGCAGTTATCCACACCAGCGTACCCATGTCAAATCCCATGTCCAATGACAAGACATATACGACACATGATATCTTTTATGTCCAAACAAGCTGTTACATTTTCCAGCATGGCAGCGACACACCTAAATGCACCACCCAGGCTAAAACAGGGCAACTTTCATATGAAGCCATAAGTGATGCTTTTGTTCTCTTAGACAATACCTATCTGCAGTACACGTTTTGCAGAGCCGCATACAGGTGCATCACAGCATACCAGGAACAGAACATTTATAGTTCATTCAGACATCAAATCTTTGTGATTTGTGCTTCACTCCTCACATGGAGCAAATGAGGCAACTAATGCTGTAATGGATTCCAAATTGGCAAACATGCTTCATCACCCTGGCTCCTTCTAGCAAATAGTACAATACTTGCCAAAAAAGTTCTCTCCAAAAATAAAAATACAGAAAGTTTTAGACAAGAAGCTTTTCAGTATTCTTCGTGATAAAGTTGGACAGAAATCACAGGACTTCCAAAAATAAAAACCATGCACAGTACAGCAAATTTAAAGCCTCCAATCCACAAGTAGCCAATCAAGCCCGTGAGAAAGTTTAAGTGAAGCAGCATATATTTTGTCTTACTTGGCACAAATGATGGCATATTTTGTCTTACTTATCAGTTGTCACAAACGAGGGCACTACTTTACTTGTCATAAATGAGGGCACTACATTAACAGCAACTGTTTGAATAAGGAGTAGGATGTTTCTCGTCTGAAATTCTGAATTACAATGCAACTGCAACACTTAACTTGCCATTATTGTGCACAATCAGACACCAAAGTGCTCCATATTCAAATAACCATCCTAACATACAAGGCAGCCACACCTACTGCATCTAGAATTCTAGATCAGACTGGAGGATTATCCACCAGACACAAATATTTCCTTGTCCTGTACTAGAGAAGCTCTATTTGTAAGTCTAATCAGGATCCAAAACAACAGGTCCTATCCACGCAACCAATCAACCGCTCAGCAAAAAGCAAACCCTACAGAGAGGGTATATATACACATATACACCAACTAGTTGGCCAGTAGGATTTGGACAGTAGGATTTAGCACGGAGCACTGACCGAGGTCACCGCCGCGCTTGGCCGAGCTGCAGTCGGAGTTCTCGGCGGCGATGTCCTCGAACTTGCGGTCCCCGGAGACGATCTGGTCGCGGAGCGCGCGCGCGAGGTCGGCCGCGTCGTCGCGGGTCGTGGCGGAGATGGCGACGCCTTCGGGATCCCGCCACGAGGCCTTGCGGCGGGAGCCCTCGTGCTTGATCAGGATGTGGGAGGCGCGCACCTTCTCCTCGGCCGAGGAGGACGGCGGCCGTCGGCCGTGGGGTTGGTGGTGGTGGGCCTGGTGGCGGTCGCGTGAGCCCGCGGAGGAGGAGGAGGGGTGCTCCGGGCGGCGGCGCTTGTCGGCGGGCGCCGGGGTGGGGCCATTGCCGCTGCTGGGCCGCTTGCGCGCGGCGTCGCCGACGCCGTCGGCGGCGGGGCTTTCCGACCCTATCTTGGCGGCCCGGGTTGCGACGCGCCGCGGCAGGCAGCAAACAAAGCTTGGGTTGGTTGGTAGTTTTGGGCTGCAGAGGGTTGTGAATGGGCAGCTGGGCCTGGCAGCATGTGGAATGGTAGGTATATACTCTCTGCAGCAGCGGTGGCGCTAGCCATGGGCGATCGGCCCGGATTGGACTAGGCCATTCAGACTTTGCGTCGGAGAAAAGAAAGAGAAGTGGAGTATGGTGCTACAGAAATCCTGGAGACACGTGGGTGCTTAATTTCGAAAGTAGTCCCTACATTTTAAATTACGAATCATTCTAGCTTTTTAATACATGATTTTTTTTTACTTTTTCACATATCTAGATATATTTGTATCCATAAACGGCGTGGTTAGCACCTGGACGTCCGGACAGACGTCCGGACGCCGGTACCTGCTGCTCCATTTCATGCGTGTCCGTGCGCACGCTAGAACCTCCGTGCCTCCCCGTCCGGATATTCGCGCCCTCTCTGCTTCCGATGCCCGCATGCGCACGGGGCCACGTGCCCCTGCCTCCATCCCCCTCCGCTTCTCACACGCATGCATGGTGCCCCAGCAGCTGCAGCAGGTAGCAGCAGATCATCGTTGCAACATGTGCAATATCATATCTACTTTTACAACATCCAGATGAAACACTTGTAATATATGTCCGAAACACATGCGACATACATCTAAAACACTTGCAAAACACCTTAAAACACTTGAAAAACACGTCTGTAGCCATTGCAAAAAATATGCAACATCCAGATAAAACACTCGCAACATACGTATGAAACACTTGAAACATACTCTCGCAATATGCACGTATATACAACACCCAGATCTAATTTTGCAACATTCAGATAAAAACACTTGAAATATACGTCTTAAAACACCTGATATACTTGAAAATTTACGCTTACAACATCTAGATCAAACACACGAAACATAAGTCGGGAACGCTTGAAACACTTGAAACACGACGTCGTCGACGACCATGGCCTACCTAGTGGGGAACTGCGGTAGCCAGCAAGCTCGGGTCAAGGGACGTCGACCCAGCATACCCCTCGGCTACAGGACGTCAGCCCGTCACTGCTCCTGCAATTCTCCCGTGCCTGCTCGTTGCCCAGGCTCGCGCGCGTCGGTGTGGCTTCTCCAGCGCTGCTGCTGCTTGTCCACGGTCATCCAGCGTTGTCCGCCCACGGGAGATGGGGTGCGGCGCGGCACGGTGAGGGGAAGTGGCAAGGCATGGCGGGGGACGGACGCACAGTGGGGGAAGGGCGCGGCGGGGCAGAGTGCGGAGGGCGTATGCACGATGACCACGGCATTAATGCGAGTGCGAGTGGGGAATTTTTCAGGGATGGAAGAGGCGTAGAGGTGTTGTTGAGCCTAGCCGCTGCGCAAGCCCAGGAAGGCACGGGTCCGAACGGGACGAACGATCTTGTACAAGCATGTGTGATCATAAAAGCTAAAAGAACTTATAATTTAGAATTCTAAGGGAAAAAACCGCATAAATGCTTTGGATTCATTAACATGTATATATGTAAAATAGATGCCATGGTTAATTGGCTTGGCGCTAAGAAACAACGTCATAACACTATTGTACAAAGTGAATTGTATCATACTATAATTATATTTAAAGCTATAACACAATCGTTATGAGTAGCCTTAATACCGTCACTTGATTGGAAAAGTTAGTATATTAGATTTTTCCCGTGACATGTATTTTTAGGGTTCCTTTTTAGGCGCCGGCGAGACAAGAAAACATTCTTTATGAGGCATGTTATATAACTGTACTATTGAGACTACAAGACGTCAAATATTAGGTTCAATTCACCCTCCAATGATGGAATGACCACCATCCACCATTGATAAGTGATAACTACCTCAGTTATGCTCAGTTCTCATGCTATTTTCAAATTGTAGTGTATAAAAATTGAAGTTTGATATTTTTGGAAGTCAACTAATATAAAAGGAGGATATTTGTAAGAGAGAATTCTTTGTGTGCCCCTAACAAAGATGGTTGACCCGTATGTGCCATTGAAAAGTTCGTTCTGATTCCTATACCCGTTTTCAAAATTTTCTTCCCCCTTGACAGAAGTGGCACCAGAGGGAAGATAAAATTAAAAGCGGGTATAGAAGGTATAGGCAATATTTGCAAAATGGATGCATAATAAATACATTCATAACGTTTTCAAATGTAGTTGGATGAAGATAATTTTTTTATGGAAGTTATAGAGATCTACGAGATCTAAAATTTTATAGTTGACACATTTTCATTTGAAATCGTTTATGAGACCAAATATATATACTAAATATTTAAAAAATATTTTTTAAATTTTCCAAATGATCCCGGATAGAGACACATCATATATCAAAGTTGTAGCATGCTCGAAGAGATCTAAAACTTTGTGGTTGAAGTTTCTTCTATTTTCTATTGTTTCGAAGCTAAAATATTCAATACTCGTACGTATGTCATTTGGTTATATTTAGACAATCTCTTACGTGCCACTCCATACTGAACGGTGCTAGCTATGAAGTTAACAGCCACCTAACGGAAGTGGCACCAGGGGGGAAATTCTAAAAGCAGGTATAAGAGTCACAACGAATTTTTCAATGGCACATATGGATCAACCATCTTTTTTTGAGGTACACAAGGGATTCACTCTATTTATAACTGATGCCCAATGATAGAGCGATAATAAGCATTGTTTAGCAATTTTGTTAAAAAAACGTGGTTTTAGAAATAGGAGATGTGCAAAAACAAAGTTTAGAAAAATGAGATATGGTGTATAGTTTCTAAAGCTCTAAAAGAACAATGATTTTGTTGATATCATGGTTTTCATCAGAAGTACAAGAAATGCCTCAACAACTTTTAATTCAAAACCAAAATATATTGCTAAACCGTATGAGTTTTTAAAACTCTGAAAACACTTTGCAACCCTTTGCTTGCTGGTACCGTGGTACTCGCTCCATTTGGGAAAGAATGCAATCGTGTTGCTGTGAAATTTGATTATTGTATATTGTATGTAAGTACATAGCATTATGCTCTGCAAATACTAGATGCATGTAACAACATCCTTTAGGTCTGCAAATCTCCATCACATCTTATCGTATTTATGTATAAGTGATTGGTTCGTTGGCCTGGCTAAGGTGGCGCGCCTGAGTTTAATTTCCGCACATTATGTTTAGTGAGTTTATTTTGATAGTTTTAGCTGGCTATACTCAAGATTCAAAGAGAAAAAATGGTTCAAGATTCATGAGAAAATAAGTTATGTTTAGTGAGTTTATTTTGATAGTTTTAGCTGGCTATACTCAAGATTCAAAGAGAAAAAATGGTTCAAGATTCATGAGAAAATAAGTTGTGCCTACATAAATTAAAAGATGTTCCCTTTTGCTCATTTGTAATGTTTCAACAAATATTATCATGGTTCCATATAAAAAACAAGCTTTTTCATTTTAAAGAAAGTTTTTGTCACGTGAGAAGATGATTTTTATATAAAAATTTTAAACGTTATGTCGCTCAAAAAATAATATAAAATTTCAGATAATAGCGCTTGCATTTGTATGAAGCTTCTACCACAGTTTTTTCGGTGTTCCAGGAAAGGGATAAAGTTGAAGTTGAAAAGAAATAAATAAATAACTAAATTAAAAGATGTTCCCTTTTGCTCATTTGTAATGTTTCAACAAATATTATCATGGTTCCACTAATTTTAAACCAATGCTTCCACGGTGTTCCAGGAAAGGGATAAATGAGGAAGAATAATAAATAACAAAAAACTCAAAAAAAGAAATAAAAAAAACGGCTTCTGGACATGAGTCCGAGCAGGATGCCTGTTTCAATTCCGAGTCCGAGCGGGCCATCAATCATCATCCACCAGACGAGGAGTCCGAGCCGGCCATGGGCCATCATCCACCCGCCGCGCTCTCGTCGGTTAGCCGCGGGCCTCTACATCCGTAGACACCGCCGCGATAATGATAAAACCAAAAAGAAAGCCAAGGTCTTATAACATGACCAAGACGCTAACTTAAACAATAAAATTGTTTCCATAATATAGCTGTGTGCTGCTGCGATAAAACCGTCAGCTGCATCTCTGATAACAGCTCCGGTGCTTCCTGCTCCCTTAGCATCATTATAAGCGGCATCAACGTTGATCAGTAGAAAACCCTCTGAAGGTTTCTTCCAATTCTTATTAAGCACAGTCTGTTTCTTCCCCGCCAACGCATAATTTGTCGTGATTGCTGCTATTGAAATAGCTGATCTCGATGGATTCCGAACATCCTCCCATGATGAACTAAGTTGATTAATTCTATATGAGAAGGTAGAACCACCTTAGAACGCAGAGTTGCTATGGTTATGATTTATGAATCACACTACCACAGTAAGGGTTCTATACTAGAAAATGACATGTTGAACCAGGGTGACGACAGTGGACAGAGCCAGCTTTGGTGTGTTTGGTGGAATAATTAACTTTTTACCATACTTACGAGGTAAGTGGTATATAAAATATCATGTCAGTGACTCATGTGTCAATGACACGTGTTATGGTGTCATTAGTAAGAGTTGTAAAAAATTAAAAGCCCCGTGTTTGGCATGATCGTGTTTTTATCTAACCTACTAGGTAAACGACAATCCACAATAATTAATAGTATGAATAAAATTTCCATAGACCCTGGGTCCAAACTCCGTCCATGTGACCACAGGTTGGTTATGCACCTCTCGCTTTTGTCGGCAGGAGTTCCTGACAATTTGACTAGGCCGAAGGCCGTATCCATTTGAGCACCATGATACGTCACCCCGTGTCAGCCGATTCATCGTGCCTTATGGACTTGTTGACAAATGGGCGAAACCCCTCTAGCTTTGTTGAGTTCTAAGAATGTTTGTCTGCGAAATGAGTTAGTCCATCATCTTCTTATTCCTTACTTTCTTTTTATAGTTTATGAAATGGGATAAGTTGATGCATCGTCACCTTATTTCTCACAAACTAGTAACTATAATAGTGTGAGAAATAAAGTCATACCAAATTTAATTTGAAGAATGGACTTTCTTGACACCCAAAAATGTGCCAACAAAGAAATTGGGCTAATAAGTTCCTAGCATCAAGGATATATTGAAAATATTTGGAGCGACAAAAATCAAAGCCTAAGTAAAGACTGGACAAAAATTGGGCTTTGCCCTGCCCAAAGCCCAAACCGGCCAGGGCAATTTCCCTGCAACCGTTCAAACCAGCCAGGCCAGTTCCCTGTTAAGTGGCTCGACCAGAGAGCCAGGCTCCATGAAAACCGACCTTCCTACCTATCCCAGGTCGATTTGAAATCGATTTTGAATCTATTTTTAACGTGGGAAACTTAGAGATTGCATTTTGGACTTGTTTCCTACTGGCATAAGACCATCCTCTCTATTAAACATGAGGATCACGGCCAATTGAGGAATCCAATTTCCGATTGTCAAAAAACACATTAACTACCCTTTTTGCCCTAACTCTCTACCTTGTTTGTCATGTCTCTCAACGAGATTTGGCAACGTCCTAAGTGGTCTTGGTGACCTTAGGACAACCTCTACGTGCTCCTTCCCAATGAGTCTTTCTGAGAGATGTTCGGGAGTTTACTATGCGAAAAACTGGCTTCAAATCAGCCTAACCAGCTTGTTGATTGGTTTTGTCAATTCGCTACTTTCTTGCTGCGATCAAAGTCGTGTGCAACCTTGAGAGTGCAAGTCGTGCTATTGCGTGACCCAATTCGATGTCTTCAGACTTATGAATCAAATCTCTTCTTTTTTGCCAACGAACTGTTTGAAGATGCATGACATCGTCCGTGTGTTGAACTCTGTAATTGCATGAATCAAATCTCTTCTTTTTTGCCAACAAACCGTCTCTCATCGTGCTAGAAAAGAAACAAAGCATTCAGAGAATTCGATGCACAATGCTGTATCTTTTATTTACAAGAAGAGCCGTTGTGGCTACGGAGATACTCATTTCTCCTATTGCGACGTTACACTGTGCAGGCTGCAGAGCATACAGCCCTGACTTGCTAAGCTATTTGGATGCAGTCGTTCAAGACATGCACGCCATTCTCGCTCATCTGCTGTACTTCCGAAGGCGATAAGATCCGAATGCATCTCACACAGTTGATGAACTCCCTGCCAAGAGGTAGAAAGAAGCACAGTAAGGTTAATCTGTGCTGGGAGCAATTCAGGAACCAATGCATACACTATTGTTATTATTTCAAAAACGAACAACAATAAGTGCAAAGAAGGCTTATAGAGTACTTACTCCCATGGATCGTCTCCAACGAGAAGAACGTCGTTCTCGTAGTCGACATAAACAAGCTTCCAGTCTGAACTGCCAGGATGTTCCAGTTTCCCTTGGAGTCCAAACATGCATGCAATGGCTGACCTTAACTCATGGTAATCTCTGAACCGTGTGACGTCAATAGATCTTCCAACTGATCCTAACTTTTGAACCTGTCATCATGGAAAGCAAGATAGCATAAGCTAAAATAGAGACCAAGGAAAAAAACACATCGTTTCATTTTAAGAATCATTCATTTTAGTGTACCTTTGTATATGTCCGGACCGGTGGTTTCATTGGCTTCACGCTTCGAACCATGCTGTACTCGGCCGCTGCATCCATACTGCACGAAGGTGTTCCCATGGAACTATTGTGAATCTCTTGTAGAGGCAAGGCTTGGCATTCTTTCATGTTTGACAATTTTGAGAACGCCCCTGCATCAAAGCTCCCCGTTGCCAGTGGTTGAGAGCATGATGAGTTGTTTATATGGATAGCTTCCATGTGCAGGCCACTTAAGGATGCACTCTGACTCTCCTCTGAGAAACTCATCTTCACATAGGAGTTGGATGTGCTCGGCACGTTGCTGCCGTCGTGTTGGGCATCCAAATGTTGCATCTCAGGCGACATAAATGTCAGTGTATTTATATCAGGACTGCTGATGAACTCTTGAATGGAATTAGGAAAGCACTCGGACAGGCAAGAGGTTTGAAACGTCTCCAAGCCATCCGTATTCATTGTGGAAGGTATACCTTCAGACGGGTTAAAAATGTTATCCGATGCGGTAACTGATTGAATGCCATTGGAGTCTTGGTAGTAGGAAGGCGGAATCATCCAATCCAGGCCCTCAAAGAACTGTGAGAAACACCCTTGGTTTGGGAACGAGCTGACGGACTTACCTCCATCAGGTGACTTTGATGATTCTAACTTCGGTGGTGAAAGTAGTTCATGCTGTTCAACCTGCTGAACTTGGAGCTCTCCCGCAAAATCACCTCGTGTAAGTGCACCAGATGAATCTTCATTATTCCCACAGGTAGCTTGTTCGGCTCCACAGTCAGCCGATGTTGGTTCTGAACCATGCCTCTGTTTGTCACAAATCTGAGAAGGTACTGAAGAAAGCTCAGATTTATCTGAAATGGTTTTGTGAGACGAGCTCTTCTTGCTCCTTCGAGTTTTTGTTCTAGGCTCACCCTTGTTGTTTTGATCTGAAATGCTTTGGCTTGAGTATGAATCTGTACTTCTTGGCCCTCTTGGTTTAACATTCATCTCCTGTGCAGAAATTGAATCAATAGCTGGCTGAACTTCACAGCTTACTTGATCACCTTTCTGAATATTAAGAGTATTCAACTGCTGCTGGGCTTCATTCGGAGGAATGCTTTCTTGCTTCACTGAACCAGTGGAAGCACCAAATGTCGATGGAGGGAAATAGCTGTGCTTAGCATTTTGAATAATGCTGGAAAATGATGATTGTTGACAAGCAATTGGACTCCCGAGGTTCTGGCCAGATTGATTGAGAAGCAGCAAAGCTAATTCTGAGCCCATCCCTGGCATGTGTTGCAAGTTACCGAAAGAATTTCCTTGTGCCCTTGGAATTGATGACATATTTACAGATCCAATTTGTAGGCCAGCAACTGCAAATGGAAAAGGCAGAAATTGTTTCAGCTTACTGCTTGATCCTAAAGAAACCTACAGAATGGTAGAGAACTACCTCCATAACTAGGAAGACATTGCCGCTTCGAATTCAATGGAGAAGAGAAAACCATGTTCTCTGGAGTTTCGATATCCCATAAACTAACTCTTTCAGGTCTTTCTCCATACCCATGTTCATCCCATTCTACCTGCAAGTTGCGCCATTTTGAGTTTGGCCATCGCATCGGGTCATAGTCGCTAATTCCCACAATTGTACCTGTGCATCTGCAGTATAAAGCAGTTTGGTTTGAATGGTTATGGTGCAGAAGTAGTCAACATATAGTAAGCTGAAATATGATTCTACAAATTCTAATTTAAATGGCACAGTTTACATTCAACCCAAAAACATTTTTTTTTTTTTTGAGGATGCATGAAAAGGTTTAATTTATTCTTTCTGAAAAGCTAAGGTTGAAGACACATTCCAGTAATATTTTGTTTTTGAACCTTAAAAGCATGTTCATTCACCTTGAGACTAACATTCATTTCAGATGATGCAGATAAATTCAGAGCATATATAATATATATAGAACCAAAAATAGAAAATGCTACCTACATACAAAGTACAGAGAAGACAAACCTGCGCTTGATTGACTCTTCTGTCTCAAACATCATCGCGAACCTCATTCCGACTGATGGTTGCAGATATGTGGCCTTATTGTACCTTGCAAGAGGAATCACAAATGGCGACGGGCTTGTCCTATAGAGATATCAAGAACAAATGAATGTAAATATGCCTACCAGAACAACATACTAAATAACAAGTCAAACGGCTATATAAATTACATACCGAGGATTGTAGTAGATAGTAAATGAGCCACCACTTGATGCTGCATGAGCTGCTGCAGCAAGAACACCTATGTGCATACTGTCAGTAGACAGGACGGATGATGACAAAGCCGGTTGTTGTCGGGTGGCCCGCCTAACACCCACAAGGAGCTGTGACTTCTCATCCCTGCACCAACATTTTTCTTTCATTGGTGGCTTTGCACTATAGAAAATTTATTATGTGGCAGATTATGACATGCAAAGCTAATTTTAGACTGAGTAAGTTCAGTTTTGGTGTCACTGTGGAGTAGGCATCAGTTGTTGCTTTCACAATAGCATTGGCAAATATTAGCACAGATTGGTTCATAGCTTGTAACGGCAGCATAGGCCTTGATAAACTATGAAGTTTAAATTTAATTTGGTGGCTAACTAATAGGTAAGGCAGCAAGTAACATACAAATACACATGGTATTTACTTCATTACAGCAACATAAAATTAAGTCAACAAAAGATTTTATATGGTAATCAACTGTAACCCCTTGATATGATATCACTTGAGAAGCGTTATATAAAATGTAAGAGATTTAGTTTTTTCAACAGTACCATCTGCCATTGCTTAAGACAAAGAATAGACTTATATATGTTACTCAGTTTAAATGCTGACCTGATAAATAAGACAGAGTCCCCAGCTTTAAGCCGCTTCGCCCCAACAAAAAGACTCCATCCGGTTGTTAGAAGATGACGCTTTGGCTGGCCTGAAAGGAACATCAACGAAAGAAAGTCTTAGACAAGGGGACCAAAGATATCTTGCACTTTTTTATGCAAGAACTAAGAAGACCAAGACAGACAGTGTCCGACCCTACCACGATAAATGTGACGGAATGTCCACATGTTATCATGCAAATCTCGAACGATAAGCTCCTGATTAGGAGGCTGCATTGAGAAATCCTGGGGGTTGAAAACATGGGTATGAGCTGAAGCTGAAAAAGAAAATAATCAACTATGCAAAAAGTAAGTCAGACAAGAGTCTCGTACCAACTGCGGAAACAACTTCTCTGCAGCTCTCCGTGGCACTGAGAAACCACCATGTGTACTTGTATCACTTGCGGTTAAATTTTTGCAGAAATATTCAGTGGGATGCTTGCTTTTGGTATAAGCACCAAGAGTTGGAATTGGGAAGACGTCATTTTCCTGGAATGGTCAGCAGGATTAAAAGGTTCATCAGCTTCTGAATTTCTCGCAATGCCATTTCTCACATTTACAGGTGCTTTCTAAAGGCAGCGCATGTTACTACAGTGCTTTCTGTTGGTAGCTACTAGAGGCAAAACTGGTGTGCACTTTTGTATGAAAAGTCTCAAATTACATATTTTCAGGCAAAACTCTGAAACTTATAAGCAATGCATCAATGCAGCATCGTTCACTTACCGTGTGTACTGGTTGCAGGGTCATCTGGGCATAAATCTCATCAGTTTCTTTGTCAGCCTGTGTAAGTCAAGCATTAACTGTTAGGGAATAGGCAATGGACTACCAAACATTAGGAACAGAACTAGTATCATTCACACTTACATGCAAAGTGATGTTGTGGACTTGGCATAGCAGCTGCGACGGGAGACTCGGGTAGTTTGGGATGCGAGAGTTTGGTATCTTTTTAGTGGTAGCAGCAACCTGCAAAAGAACAGCTTCAGCATCGACAGTTCGAAGAGCGAGCACTTCTGGATTTAAGATGATCAGCGAGCATAGTATGTTTGGGTCATAATCCATATGCAGCACAGCAGTAAAAAGATAAATCGGTGCCCACAGGTCATAATCCATAGTATGCAGTGCAGCAGTAACATTTTTTCAAGCACAGAAAACACAGAAGCTAATAATACTGCTCGCAGTATATTCAGAATCCTCGCTTCAGATATTCAGAATCCAATCCATTCGAACCTGCTCGCTGTGCCCCTGGGGGAAGTAGTAGACGAGGCTCCCCCGCTGCGGCAAGCACACCAGCGGCCCCGCGCACGCGTGCCACAGCTCGGAGTTGATCACCTTCTTCGCACCTGACGGAAAGCAAGCACCGGGAAGAAAGAACTCGCATCACGCTAAAACGCGTCGGAGAAATGCAGAATTCTGCATGAGCAAGCGACACTCACCCTGCGTCTCTCCCATGAGCTGCATTTCGTCGAGCAGCGCCGCCGCGTTCCTCAGCACACCCGACGTGGCCTTCTCCTGCGAGGACGCCATCATCTCCAGAGGCGCCGCACCAGACCGAAGCTGAAAAATGAAAACCGCGGTTTTCTTGATGCCGAGACACCAGAGGCCCCCGACGAATCCAATCTCGGTTCCCAGCAGCTTATGCGCGCTTCATCATTGATGGCTGAGAACTACCACGCGTCCACGCCTGCATGCCACTGTGAGACAGGACGAGCGTGTTAATTAAATGGCAAGCAAGGTGTTGCTGTTCGCGAGCAGCAGGCAAAGAGGAGGGGAGTAAAAGGCCAGGTGAAGAAGACGGCCCCAACCCACCCAAACGCATTCGCAGTCGTGGTACTACTACTAGCTGCTAGTGCCTAGTGCTGCAAGCGATGGAAGCTAAGCTGTGGGGTTGGGTCCCCATGGCGACCACACCAGGAGCCGGCCTTTTCCCAAGAAAGCAGGCGGCTTTTGTGTCCTCACGCCACGCAGGCGCAGCGCAGCGCATGCCATGCCCTCCTACGACTACGAGGCAGTAGGAGTAAAGCCCAGCAGGGGCACAGGGCTAGTAGGCCTACCGCCTACGAATGCGCAGAGTGGAATGGCGCAAAGAATCTCGGTCATCAGCTAGCTCTAGCTACGTGCGTGCTCGAATGAGCTCGATGGCGTGCACGCCACTTGGCGCCCGGCCGGCTCCACCTGATATGAATATGCTGAGAGCGGGCCGGCGGCCCCGTCGTCGCGAACCTGCAACGGCGCCAAGCTGAAGCATGGGCGGCCGGCCTCCCGGAGACCCAGAAGACAACATGTAGCTCTTCCCTTTCCCCAGGCGGTCAATGGCAGCAAGCAAGCGTGGCCTCAGGAACGGCAACTGAGTGAACACGAGCAGAGCTTTGCATCACAAGCGGCCGTGACGCATCAAGGACCGCTGCATTGTCCGTTCCGTCGAACTCGAAACCAGCAAATAAACCATGAGAAAAGAAGAAAGCTCTACCCGTTATCAAGTGGAGGATGAAACCAAACCGGGAAAGTGACAAGGGAGTACGTGTGACGTGAGACAAAGAGAGTGGGAGAGGGAGAGCAATGACAAGAACGGAGGCCGCACCTCGGCTTGTCTCCTCGCCTGGGACTGGGGAGTGGGAGGGAGCGCGAGCGCGAGCGCCACACACAAGGCAGCACAACGCCAACGCTTGTTGGTCTTTGATGAACTGTGAAGAGCGAAGGCAACAAGCGGAGACGAGCAAGCCAAGCCCCAGCTCCAGGCCCCGATAAATAAGGCTGTCTCCGACTGGGGACGCATTGAATACCTATAGCCTTTAACCTATATAGAAGACTCATTTTAATATTAGAAAAGGTATATGACTTAAATCTAAGTATCATCTCTCTTGAAGACTCATTTGTAGAAAGGATTATTTTTAGATCTTATGATTGGAGAAGATAAAAAAAAAGTATTAAACTCTTTGTATATAGCGCTAAAAAAACGAATAGATCTTATATATTATATATTGGGTGACGGTTGTCGGAGCCGGTCTAAGCCAACCGCCCAGCAAGCGCTCTGCCTCTGGTAAAAGGGCACGGGCAAAGCGGGCGGGGGAGGGAGTGGGGATGGGGCAGGCGATCGAGCCCGTGACACGGCACGGCACGCCGGGGCGGGGAGCACGCGGGCTGGGACTTGAGGACCGTGGACTGACTGATGGTGGCGGCGTAGTGTGAACAGTGGACGCAGCAGCAGCAACAGCAGCAAGGTGGTGCGTGTCCGGTGCGTATGGCGTGGCGTAGGGCTCGTAGCTGGCTAGCTAGACGGGGCGGCAATGATACCATCATGTACGCGCGCGGGGCGGGGCGGGGTGGCCGTGCTCCGTGCTCGCCTTTCCTTTCGTCCCGTGCCTTTTTTATCTGGCTGTTGCGTTCATCGCGATCTCTCTCTCTCCTCTGCGAACTGCGATGACTGCTCGAGTGGCGAGTAGTGGTGACCGCGCGGCTTTGGGCTAAAGATGCCGGCCTTTCGAAGGGGGCGATGCCATGATGCCTCATTTGCGCAGGCATGCTTTGCTGCCTGCCGATGCCGGCCGGCCAGCCAGCGTGCAGCGTGTGGGCGAGCGACGAACGTGTCCTCCGAGCCCAGGCCACAGCCTCTCTCTTTCTCGCCCTTCGGTTCCTCCCCTCCTGCCCTGCGCCCCTGCGCCGCTGCGCGCGCTGCCTTTGCGTCTCTGCCCCCGTCTTGATCCCCATCCCCCACATGTCAGCTACTAAGCGAGGCAGCAGACGGGGAGAGAGCAGTGCGCGCGCGTACGGCGTGCCTACGCGTGCTGCCAAGCGCGAGGCGCCACGCCACGCCGCCCCCCTCGGCCCCTCGCGTCGCGTCGCGCGGTCGAGGACTCGAGGTGGTGGTGGATGGGATGTGATGGGACTATGGGACGGAGTCGCGGAGGGAGTCGTCAGGCTCAGCTCAGGCGTGGGTGGGTGGATCTGCCCTGCCCGGATCCATCCATTCAGTACGTGTCGGTCCTGGCGTGGACCGCTACACCCCGCGCGCGGCGACTGACCGATGGGCGATGGGGGTGAGGCCTGCAGCCCCGGCGGAGACCGCCGGACGAGGCCACCTCCATCCATCCATTCAGTCGTGGCTGACGCGGCTGCGCCGATGGTGACCGTGTCAATGTACACACATGCATCATGCTGCATGCGCATTGTGCGTGCGTACTACCTCGTGCCCGTCTGCTGTACTAGCGTATAGGGTATCCAGCAGGTCGAGGCGTGTAGCTACGCAATACGTACTCTACTCCCATACTCCTACAGTACAGTACGTCTTTGGTCTAGAAAGTGTAAACCGCAAACGGACCGGACCAATGGATGGATCATAATGAGATTCGCGAGTGTGAAGAGCTGAGCTCGCTCTTTCCGCAGTGGCCGATAAAAAGTCGCTTTTTCACCTTACTTCCCATCGTCCCAGTACTCCTCCCACGCCAGGAGATCAACATGCGGCCTGGCCTGTGATCTCCCCGTAGAAGGGAACAATGCCGATGCCGATGCGAATGCTTCGACCCCCAAATCATTCCGTTTCGTCACACTTTGAGCCACAGCCGTCAGTGTGCTATAGTAGGCGAGAAAGAAAGGAAAAAAGGTTCCCTGGCTTCGCTAGCTCGCCAATCCGCAAAAGGCGTGCTTGCATTGCATGCACCGTTCCTCCAGTGTGCAAAGCAGGCTGCAAGCACTCTAGAGGTCTAGGAGAACGTACTGTGCATGGCAAGAGCGAGGTCTCTTGCACAATGAAAGATCTCGCATGCAATGCAGCCATCTAATCCGAAAAGACACCAGGAAAAGCCTGAATGGTCAAGACTCGAGAGCGCCTTTTTTGACCTGGGCGTGCATCCTGTACGGACCCGGGGTGTGTTGGCGTGCCACCGGCGTGACTCTCGAGTGCATGCGTTTTCAACGATGCCACGACCCTTTTCGCCTCTTACGCGTGTGGGAAAAAAAGAGTTGACAATGCTACTTAGTAGTACTAGTCGTAGAACAACGCCAATCTAATCTAGTACACAACGCTTTCTAAACACATGTACTAAAAGAGGAGAAGGATGTCATCGATGGCTGCAATCATCAATATTCCTAGCTACGGATGTTGTTATTATTATATAGAGCAAATTGTTTAGCTTCCAATTTCCATTGCATTGACAACTCGTCACTGCCTTTTGAACCAGCTTTGGCCTCACCTAACCGTGAAAAGATCGGTTCACGAAACAGTTCTTGGACTTTGGAGTAGGAGTGCTACTATTTTACACAGCAGTTTTTTTCCCCCTTCAGTCATGTTTGTGTCCGCTCCAGTGCTTATGTTGACAGTTGACAGGTCATTACAAAAACTGGTGTTTTAAATCTTTACCCGTTTATTTTGGCACAAGCCGACTCAAAACCCTACCAGTACTAGTAGTGCACTGATTGGCTGGCCATGTGGCCATGTCCATGTGTTTTGGGTGTCCAAGCACAGGCAAGACAAAAACACACGGCCAGAGACAGTCGCCTGATGAGTCCGTCGTCGAGTCGAGTCGAGCAGCAGGGCAGGGCACTGGGCAGGCCAGGACAGGCCACCTCGGGGCAGACCGAATCCGATTACGATCCCGGCTCGCTGCTCAGCGCCTTGTCTCGGGCAGGAAGAAGGTCCAGCCCCGGCCCGTCCACTCGGTCCTCCGTCCGTCCTGCTCCTCTGCTCAGAGTCCGGCCGCCGAGACTGCGAGAGGACGAGAGCCGAGAGCTGAGCGCAGTCCCTGCACGGCTGCCGCACTGCGCACACACACGGGCACACGACGACGCCTACCGTACGTACCAGACCGCCCGGGTCGTCGAGTTGCGCGTCACCGCGGCCGCGACGCGCCAAGGCGTGACGACGCCGCTCCGCGCGTCCGTACAGGCAGGTTGACAGCACGGCTCGACTGCCGCGAACGCTTGACGCTTCCGGGTTCCGGCCTCTGCCAGCGCCCGACGCGACGTCCGCCCGACCGTCGTCCGCACTCGCGAGCTGCTGCGGGCAGGACCGCAGGCTCTCCTCGGCCGCTACCGCAAATGGAGCCAGCGCGGCCTGCGCCTTTTGGGACGGCGCCAAGGATGGACATGGACGCGACGCTCCGGTCGGGACTCAGGGAGACCTGCTGGCCTGTTGAGCTGACGACCGCTCAGGTGCCCCTGCCGGAGGGCATGCAGCCAGAGCCCAGGCACAGGAGGCGGGCTCCAGATGGCAGTTCTTCCGCCCGGCGACGCTGCCCTCCCTCGCTGCAGCTGCATGGCATGGAGCATGCTCCGGCAGTCCGGCAGCGAGGCCAGCCACGGCGAGACGGGACGGGACGACATGGGGTGGGGCCGGTGTGCAGGGCGCAGCGGGGGGCAGAATCCCGGGAATGTCGTGGTTTATTTTTCCACGCCTCGGACTTCGCCAAGACCGAAACAGTGTGCTGCTGCTGCGCATGGCGCTACGAGTGCTCATCATGTACCACTACTGTGCGTACATACGCACTGTAGCAGCGAATGTTTTGTTAACCGGATCCACCCAAAAAATTTCAGAT